CTGGGGCTGGAGGGGCTCACTGGAGCACAGAGAGCAAGAGGGGGGTGAAAGGTGAGGCCAAAGAAGTGAATAAGGACCAGGTTGCACAGGAGTTTGGCACCACAAAGGTAGGTTCTTCAGAGGGCAGGACTGAAAGGGAGCAGAGGCTGAAGACAGTAAGCAGACACCACCATGTCTCTTGGTTTGGAAGAAGGGTCACAGAATCACGCTTCCCTGTCCCAGCCCCATCTGCCGAGTGTCCTTCTTTCATGCCCTTAATGGCACCTCAGCCCCCCCTCGCTCCCCACCCCCAGAATCCTCAGGGGTGGTGCCCTCCCTCAGGGCCCAACAATCTCATTAGTGTGGCATCAGAGAGGAGATTCCTAATCAGCTCACTCAGCAGCAGGATAAATGCCTAGGCTGCTGTCCTGCTGAGGAAGCTCCAGCTACTACACCCATGGCCCTGTGAGACCTGCTCAGCACTTGGTGAGTGTGACCGACTCGTCTTTCCTGGCAGCCATGTCCCCAGGTGTGCTAGCGAGCATCTATCTGCCCATCCACCCAGGGGGTGGGGAGGCTACAGGCTTTTAGCACCATGGCCAAGGTCTGGGTCTGCAGAAGCCCACCCACCACCCTATTGTCAGAGAAGATGCCTAGCCAACCACCTTCTCTGTCCCCCCCATGTTAACTGGTGGGTGGTGCTGCCATCTCCAAGGCTAGCAATGGTCTGAGAACCTCAGGCCACATGCACTCAGCTGGCCCAAGTGGGCACCAGTCTCAGACTGGCCGGGACCAGGGCACCTCAGGCAGAGGTTTCCACATGGACAACATCTGATGACTGGAGCTCCATCAAGAGCCAGGGCTGCCCAGGATGGTCCATGTCTTGGGGCTGCAGAAGCAGTCAGGCTGGCCTGTACCATCTGGGATGTGAGGGGGTGAGGGTTGGGTGCTGTGGGGTCTGAGCCGCTAGAACCACTGGGCTCCTGAGCCCTGGATTCTCCCAGGCTGGTGCTGGTCCCAGTGACAGAGGCTGAATCTTAGGGAAGGAAGGCAGCATGGCAGGGTCCACCCCAATCCCAGGTGCCCCAGCACCCACTGCAGAGCCTTCCTCCTCAAAATGGAGCCTTCTGTCCTTGTGGTCCCAGGCCTGAGACCTGATGCTCTAGTAAACAGCTCCAGTAGTAACTCAAGGCTGGAATCAGGCATTTCAGCTCTCAAGACCAGGGACAAGGAAGAGAGGACCCCAAGAGGTTGTCCCTGGGGCATCCAGTGCAGGTGAGGGGGGAAGGTAGCCCCTCCTGTCCATGTCATGTGCTTAGTCTCAGAACCTTCTGGCAGCATGTGGGGCTTGCAGCAGCCCCCATGGGTGATTAGGAGTCTCCTTTTGGAGCTAATAGGCTTAAAGGAAGCTGAGCTGCCCTTGGCCCAGGTCACTGGGGCTTAGACTATCTGGGGAAAGGATAAAGACAGGTCACCAGGCAGGAGGTCCAAGGACACTGGCTTCATTCAGAGTAACTGAAAGGCCCGCTCGACCACACCCACGCCAGGCAGGTGACTCTGCTCCCAGAGCAGGATCAGGAACAGCGAGGGCCTGGGGACTCATCCAGCAGAGGGAAGACACACACTGAGCACCCTCCCTGCTCTCTGAGTCTCGGCTTGTCTCTCTGTGTAATGAAGTCAGGAGAGTGAGGGTTACACAGTTCAGCAGTGCGTCTCATTTCAAGACAGACCTCTTACCCAAGAGTCCCTGCCTGGGTACCCTGCCCCCCACTTCATGGCACTGCCGGGCACCTGGCATGGCACTGAGAGGCTCCGGGGTGCTCCATGAACGGGTGGATCCTTGGTACTGACATTGTCCCAACCCAAAGGACAGACAACAAGCACATCAATAAGAAAAGCAAATGCACTCACACGAGCACATGGATAAACCAGGAATGTAGGCTAACATGTGACATGAAGAAGTAAATTAGGGCCTGGGGATACAGAGTGACCTCAGGGTTGGGGGTTAGAGTGAGGGAAGGCCTCCCTGAGAGGGGACCTGGAGGGGGAGGAGGCCTGGGACTGATGGTCGGCAGGGAAAGTCAGAGGCAGGCTGATGGCACAGAGGAGGGGCTCACTTGGATCTCATCCCAGTCCCAGCAGGAGGCTCAGAGGGCTTTCAACAGAGGGACCAGATGGATTCAGACTCCAATCATGCTATCTTTGGGTGGCGAACACAGGGGGAGGGGTGGGAGGGCAGGCAGGTATCAGGGGTCATTGGGGGCACCTGCAAGGGTTGGTGACAGAAGTCCACATTTTGGACATATTGAGGGTTAGGAGGATGGGCTTGGTGTGGATTGCATGTATGGGTGAGGGGGCCAGGGACACAGGCAAGCCTGAACTGTGTGTGGCCAGTGGTGGGGAGGAGCATCCACCAGGAAGACAGGGCCAGGTAGTGGGGAGCGCCAAGTGGGGTCTCAAGTCTGGGCTCCTCTGCTCTATTGGGTTGACTAGAACCTTGGCCTGGTCTGCCCCCAGCCGCAGCAGGAGGGAGTCCAGAAGCCAAGGTTGCCACAGTGTCTCGGCCAGCCTCACCATGAACCTGGAGCCACCCAAGTCCGATTTCCGGTCAGCCACCAGGGTGTTTGGAGGACCTGTCACCCCAAGGAAAGGGCCCCCCAAATTTAAGCAGCGACAAACCAGGCAGTTCAAGAGCAAGCCCCCCAAGAAAGGCGTCCAAGGGTAAGTAGAGCTGGGGGAGGGGGCCCCTGAAAGGGAGAGGGCAGGGGCCACCCCCAGGTTGCCCAGGAAGTGTCAGGGAGAGGCTTGGGCCACTTTCTGACTGAAGGTTGCCCCATCCTCATAACTAGGGGTAGGCAAGGCAATTCCTGAGGGCCTGAGGGAGGATTGAGGGGAGAGGAACTGGGGGTCCCTGTCACCCACTCCAGATGCTGCTGCCAATCACAGCTGGAAAACACACCCACTCCTACCCAGAGACTCAACCACACCATACCACTGATGAGTCCTCACACACCCTGCATTCACATGTGTGTGCATACCCAACACACTCACACCCCACATGTACACACAGAGGCACAGTCACAGAAACACCACCCTCTCACAAACTTACACTCAAAGGTATGCACTGGCACCCGCACCCCTATATTCCTCCATAGGCTGTCCACGTACACTGGGCCATGCACTGTTCTTGGTCCTCAGCCCCATGATGTTCTGGGCAGCAGACTCGCCCTGTGCCTGAGAAGGAAGCCCCCTCAGGCCCACCTGGCAGTGGGAGGCTGAGGAGGAGGTGGGTCTCTGCCCATTGGATCTTCACCCAGGAGCCTTGTCTCCTAGGAGGGCTGAGTCCTGTCTTCAAGCCTCTGGCTGACTGAGCCAGGGCTAGACGCAGCCACCTCCCTGACAGCTCTGTCTTTGCAGGTTTGGGGACGACATTCCTGGAATGGAAGGCCTGGGAACAGGTATGGTTGCTGCTAATACCAACCCAGGGGTTTGCCCAGGTTCCTCCAGGCATATCCAGAGCCCCCTGCAGCCCCTAAATCCCCCATGGCCCCCACCTCCCCTGCTTTTTACTTAGGCCCCCCAAGTCTGCCACAACTCACTTCTTCCCCAGACACTGAGCTTCAGATCCACTGGGTGGGGTTGTTCTCATTTGGGACATGTTCACCAGGTGAGGGAGAGGTCTGGGAAAGAACAGCACCCCTGACTGCCCCTCCTCTTTCAGCAAGGCTCACCCTCCTATGGTCCCTCTCTTGGGCCTGCTGTACCCCTCCCCTCCTGCACAGCTGGTGTGTCCTGGGAGGAGGGCTGCATGCCAGGATCTGTACTCCCACCCTCAGCACATCTGGGTCTCCATTCAGGGTGTGGAAAACAGGGCCACAGGGGATGCGGCCCCACAGACCACAAGATCCTCTCTGACCCAGGGCTCCTTTCTCTTGTAGACATCACTGTCATCTGCCCTTGGGAGGCCTTCAACCACCTGGAGCTGCACGAGCTGGCCCAATATGGCATCATCTAGCGCCATACATTGCCCAAGGTCCCAAGACCCTCCCTGCTACTACTTGCTGCACTTTGAACCCTGCTCAGGATTCCTGCAGAAGAGACCTCCCCACAGCCCAGATCACACCTAGATACCAGGGTGGGGCATTGACCTCAGGCCTCTCCAGACACCAGTCCCAAGAGCCCACCACCTTCTACCAGGATGCCCCCTTGGGGGCTGGCCAGGCCCTGCTCAATTTCCAGAGACACTGGTTCACCCCCTGAGGTCTGCCCTTAGAGAGAGTTACCCGAGGAGAAAAGGAGGTGGACCCCAGACTATCTCCTCCTCATGGCTAGAAGGCCAGAGCAGGGTCCCCCAGGAGTGTCCTCCATTTCCCAGTCCCTTGTCCTGCCCATCTGGTGAAAAGAAGCTAGCTCCCCTTCCCTGCAGCCCTTTCCAATTGGGTGCACCTGAATTGGAAGTGGTGGGTAGCATGAGTCCTGGGGCATATTGTGAGTGGATGAGACCTTCATACCCATCACAACAGTGGGGTCATCCTTTTCAAGACGGTCCACCCTTGCTGTCCCTGTTTCAAAATAAAATTAGCATGCCCTTGCTCAGCTGGGACATGTTTTGGGGGAGTAGGGCTGCAGGTGAGGGCCTCGTCAGCAGAGGCACATGGGCATAAGTGCAGGTGGTGGGTGTGGGGCCAGAGGGCTGACCATGTTGAAAGGAAAGACAGCCCATGGGATCACACTCTCATGGAAACTTGCTGGTGGCCCTGAGACATACACTGCCACACACCTATGGGCCATAGTCAGTGAAGCATGCAGGTGGCTGGAGCAGGCCTTGCTGAGAAGGTGGGACTGGACAAAGCCCAACCATCACATGCCACAAGAAAGGAGTTCTTACTCCCACCTCACAGGTGAGAATCTAGAGAGATAGATAACTCACCCAGAGTGCCCAGCCAGCCTGTCCTTAGAGCTGGGTGTGTGCCCACCTATGACTTAGGATCTCACTTGTGACACCACACCCAGGGAAAAGTAAGACCTGTGCAAACTGTCCGAGAAGCCAGGGATTCACACTAGCCCCGTCCACATCCATATGGACCAGTAGCCATTCACACAGCAGCCACCAGATCTGACTCTGGAGGGCCCTTTAGGATTCCATGCTGCGAAAGTCAGAAAGAGGCAACACTGGCCCTGGCTTCGGGCCAGAGCAGGGCTAACCTTAAGGACAGAAAGCCTGTGGGCTGGAACTCCTCCATCTTGACCTGGTGGTTCCATAATCTCTAGATGGGTAAGAATTCCTCACAGTGCCCGCTGAAGATTGGTGTGTTTACTGTAGAAATGATAACCTCAACAAAATATTTACTCTCTCCCCAGAAAAGTTCTCGGGGTGGGGGTTGGGGGGATGAGGGGAGGCCTGGACCTGACTCAACCACCGCAAGACAAGAAAGGGAGCAGCCCCAGAAGAGCGAATGTCAGGGATGGCAAGGAGGTGGGAACTCTGAGGCTGGGGTTAGAGGTTGGGGCTACAAGGAGGGGCTTGGGCTCGAGGGTGGGACTCGTGGACAAGGTTCCACATCAGGAGTTCCTCCACCCCACCTCGTGTGTGGTCTTCCAGTCTGCCCGACGGAAGCCAGACAGAAATCAGGCAATAGCCCAAGGAGTCCGTTCTAGCCAGATCCTCGGGGACAGGGAACCCTGGGGAGCTGGTGTCACAGTGGGTAGAAGAGGCTCGGGTGTCTGAGATCCTCTGAGACTGTCCCTGGGGGAGAAGAAGCCTACAGCCTCGGACCCCAGCCTGGGGCCCCAGCCTTTCCTCTCACCTGCCAGGCTCAGAAAAGCAGCACGGTCAGCCCTGAATGAGTTTAGCAGAGGTCCGAGCGTCCGGTTCGGGGATCCGGGGGAGGGCACCACTCTCCCCGTCCGCTCCAGGGTCCTCCACTGAGTCCTTGCGCGCGACTAGGGCCCTAACCAGCTGGGCAGCCAGCAGGAGCTCCACCCCCTGCACCACCACGACCAAGATCACATAGACGCCCACGGCCGAGATATTCCCATGCAGCCACCGTCGGAGTGGGGGACCGCAGCCCTCCAGGTACACCACTCTCTGAGCTGCGTCCACATCCAGGCCCAAGGCCCCAAAGCCGCACTGGTCATTGACAGAGGCTCCATCTTCCCGGGGGTCGATGCAGCAGGAGGCAGGAAGGCTGCAGGCCTGCACACCAGGAGAGCTACAGTTGAAGTACCTGCAGGAGCACACGAAGGTATCAGTTCTGGAGGGGAGGGCCTGCTCTTCTGGGAACAGAGTTGAGTCGTGTCTCCTTCCCATCTTCACACTTCCAAGGTCACACATGCACAGGCACACACAGGCATGCAAGTATGCATACATGCATACAGACACACACACACACACACACACACACACACACACACACACACACAATACCCAGCTTTCTGTAATTTATTCCTTTACATGACGGCCCTCTGCACTAGCAGGCAGTTGTAGTAGCTGTCATGGCTAGAAGGAAGATATTTAGTAAGATGGTTGAAGGGGAGACAAGCATTTGAGATGGAGTGGAAGTCAGAAGATCACACTCAGTACATGCTGCTCAGTTCCTTTGAGAGGGAGAAGGTGGATTGAGCTTTGGCAGAGGCTTCTGGAATGGTCTGTGGGTCATATAGAGAAGAGCAAGGGCGTGTGAGGCAGTACTGGGCGATGACAGAAGGAGCTCCCAGGGTGTCTAGAGACAGTGGGCTGCATCAGACAGGCAGCCCCTGGGTGTCTTTGGCCTTCAATTGACGTCCAGGGCCCTGTACACAGACCCATTCTCTGTGGGTCTGGACATGGTCTCTCTGGACCCTGCCCCACAGACCCTCAGGCTTGTCCCCATACCCTCCCTCACAGGCACTGTCTCAACTACTCAGAGAGTGTGCCTCCACTGAGGCAGGGCAGGGGCTTGCGGCTGGCAGGAGAGGTAGCATCACAATACCTCAGTGGACTGCCAGCAACCCAAAGTCGTATGTGGCCGACAAGCACCCATATGTTGCTTTGCGGAGTGCCTGGTGCATAGGAGGACACTGCACATGTTAGCAACTGTTGGTAAAGATGGTCAGTGTTAGCTGGGCTCGGTGGTTCAGCCTGTAATCCCGCGCCTTTGGGAGGCTGAGGTGAGTGGATTGCCTGAGCCCGTGGGTTTGAGACCCGCCTGGGCAGCGAGACCTCATCTCTACAATAAATAAAAAAATCAGCCGGGCGTGGTAGCGCATGCCTGTAATTCCGGCTACTTGGAAGGCTGAGGCGGAAGGATCGCCGGAGCCCAGCAGGTCGAGGCTGCGGTGGCCGGGAGCTGCCACTGCACTCCAGTCTGGGTGACAGAGTGAGACTCCAACTAAAAAAAAAAAAAAAAAAAAAAGATGGTCAGTGTTTAGGGTCTCCTATGACTTCATATCTTGTGGTTACTTGCCCTGACACACACCAAGAATTCTCATAGGAGGGAGCACATGTTGTGTGTCCTGGGTGTCACATGGAGAGCAGGTGCTGCTCTGGGTGCCCATGCATTGGAGATAATTGACAAAACAACAGATAGCCTCGAGCAAAACATAAACAAATACTGCATTCTATTCCTAAATAGACAACAGTTAATCACACAAACACACACCACACACACACAGTGGAGGGAAAATTGTGTAGTTGTAATCCAGAGTGATGTCTTGAATTAACCCAAAAGTTAGTATTTTTTCTTAGTTGGAGTCTCACTCCGTTGCCTAGGCTAGAGTGCAGTGGCATGCTTCCTTCTGACTCAGCCTTCCAAGTAGCTGGAACTACAGGCACACGGCACCACGCCCAACTATTTTTTTGATTTATTGTAGAGATGAAGTCCCACCATGTTGCCCAGGCCGGTCTTGAACTCGCAAGCTCAGGCAATCTTCTCTCCTCAGCCTCCCAAAGTGCTGGGATTACAGACTTGAGCCACCATGCCCGGGCCCCAAAAGTTATTTTCATTTGTCATTGGGATGTCTTATATGATTTTTTTTTTAAAGTGGGCCAGGCTCGGTGGCTCAACCTGTAATCCCAGCATTTTAGGAGGCTGAGGTGAGTGAATTGCCTGAGCCCGAGGGTTCAAGACCAGGCAACTTGGTGAGACCTTGTCTCTACAATAAAATAAAAAATACCTGGGCATGGTAGTGCATGTCTGTAGTTCCTGCTACTTGGAAGGCTGAGGCAGAAGGATCCCTGGAGCCAGAAGGTTGATGCTGGGGTGGCCGTGAGCATTCATGCCACTGCACCCCAGACTGGGTGAAGGACTGAAACTCCAACTCAAAAAAAAAAAAAAGTGGCTTTCAGCCAGGTGCAGTGGCTCACACCTCTAATCCCAGCACTTTGGGAGACCAAGGCAAGAGATTGCTTGAGCCCAGGAGTTCAAGACCAGCATAGGCAACATAATGAACCCTCGTCTCTACAAAAAAAAAAATCAAATGGCTCAGCCTGTAATCCCGCGCCTTTGGGAGGCTGAGGTGAGTGGATTGCCTGAGCCCGTGGGTTCGAGACCCGCCTGGGCAACTTGGCGAGACCTCATCTCTACAATAAATCAAAAAAAATCAGCGGGCATGGTAGCACGTGCCTGTAATTCCGGCTACTCAGAAGGCTGAGGCAGAAGGATCACTGGAGCCCAGCAGGTCGAGGTTGTGGTGGCTGGGAGCGGCCACTGCACTCCAGTCTGGGCGACAGAGTGAGACCCCAACTCAAAAAAAAAAAAATCAAAAATTTAGGCTGGGCTTGGTGGCTCAGCCTGTAATCCCAGCACTTTGGGAGGCTGAGGCAAGTGCATTGCCTGAGCCCGCGGGTTTGAGACCAGCCTGGGCAACTTGGCAAGACCTCGTGTCTACAATAAATCAAAAATTAGCCAGACATGGTAGCGCGCACCTATAGTTCCAGCTATTTGGTAGGTTGAGGGGGAAGGATCACTGGAGCCCAGCAGGTAGAGGCTGCGGTGGCCGGGAGCGTGCCACTGCATTCCAGTCTGGGCAACAGAGTGAGACTACAACTCAAAAAAACAAACAAACAAAAAATTTATCCAGATGTGGTGGTGCACACCTATAGTCCTACTATTCAGGAGGCTGAGGCAGAAGGGTCATGTGAACTCAACAGGTTGAGACCGCTTTGAGCTGTAATCATGCCTCTGCACTCCAGACTGGGTGATAGAGTGAGACCTCCAACTCAAAATAAACAAATAAATAAAGTGACTTTCTAAGTCTGCTGGCTCAGCTTCTCCACTGAGATCCTTGTGTATCCACCTGGCCCTGGCTGGAGGGAGCAGAGTTATGCTGGGGGTCTCAGCAGACCTGGTCTGGGTCCAGAGATCAACCCAGGAGGCCCAATTCAGGCCTAGAACCCATGGAACAGGGGGAGGTACGCACCCCTGCGCCTCGTGTATGTGCACACGTGTGAGTATATGTGTGAACATATTTGTGTTAAAGTGTGTGCTTGAGTGTGAGGCTGTGTTTTTGTGTGCACATGGGAACATGTGAGTGTGCATATAGGTACATACACACAAGTGCATAGGTGTGAGTGCACACATGAAATCTATGAGCATATGAGATGTGTCAGTATGTACAGGTAAGTGTACACATGTGGATGTGCATGTGTATAAGTGTATATGTGTGTATACACTTGGGTGTGTATGTATGCATGCACACCTGAGTGTGTGTGGCCTTAGGGACCCTGCTGACACCCATCCCTTGCCCGCTCTGAGACTCACAGGTTCTGCTGCCAGTCCTGATAGGACACCACCCCACAGCATCGTAGCCCGAGCTGGACTTGGTCAAGGAGGAAACGCAGGTCCGGTTCGTCCTGGTAGTGGGTGATGGCCACACGCAGGGTGTGCTCCAGGCTGTCCTGCAGTGGGCCCCAGAGGGCCACCACCAGGGCTCCTGCTACAGCTTCAAGTACCAGGAAGGCAAGAATGCCCCCAGAGAAGCCATGCAGTAGGCAGGTGTTCTCACAGAGGGCACCCAGGCAGCCAGCTAGGCTCACTGCACTAACTGCCAGCCCCCCGAGTGTCAGCCCCAACATGGGGTCTACAGGTAGAGGTGCCCCCCAGTCACTTCCCAGAGATCCCTTGACAGCCAGGCCCCAGAGCCCAATCGCCAGGGCCAGAAGGGCCAGCAGGGAGAAGAGGAAGTTGGAGAGGAAGATCAGATACTTGATGCAGCTGCTCCCTGAGGGGAGGGAAGGAGCTGGGCCTCCCCAAGGGCCACCCATGGTGGCCTGACACTTGGCTCCAGGAGGACAGCAGCCACAGCCCCAGGCCTTTGCCTGGTCCTCCTGGGGTGCTGGATCTGGACAGCTTGAGGTGGATGAACCGTTCATGGAGAGGGGCAGCGTCTGGCCTGCAGTGTCCTGCAGAGGGAACAGGTGAGACCTTATTTGTTTAGATTCTGTGACAATCAGAAAGGGATGCAACCTTATCAGCAAGGGGTCAGGGAACAGCTGAGTGGCAGAGCCCACAAGGGATGGGAAGATGCTGAGTGGTGGAGGGCAGAAGGGGAGCTCAGAGACCTGGACAGCCAGGGGCAGGGAGCCTTTGGGTCTATCCTGCTTGGTGTCAGCAGAAAAGACAATGAGAGCCCTGGCTCTGCTACCTACTGTTGTGTAGACCCCAACCTCTAGAACAGAGTAATGCAAGCCGGGCTCGGTGGCTCAGCCTGTAATCCCATGCCTTTGGGAGGCTGAGGTGAGTGGATTGCCTGAGCCTGCGGGTTCGAGACCCGCCTGGGCAACTTGGCGAGACCTCATCTCTACAATAAATCAAAAAATTAGCCAGGCGTGGTAGCGTGTGCCTGTAGTTTCGTCTACTCGGAAGGCTCAGGCGGAAGGATCGCCAGAGCCCAGCAGGTCGAAGCTGCGGCAGCTGGGAGCAGCCACTGCACTCCAGTCTGGGTGACAGAGTGAGACTCCAACTCAAAAAAAAAAAAAACAAAAACAAAAAAAAAAACAGAGTAATGCATACCCCTGCAAGGTCATGGTGAAGACTAAGCAAGGCACCCAATGGGTATGCCCCTCCCCATTCCGTGCGATGGATGGGTGATTTGCACAGGTCAGGGCTCCTGACTCCCATAGTGGGAACATGTGGCAGGTGAGACTGTTTTCTCAGAGTTTGAAATAACATTTGTTTGGACTCATGCCTGCAGAGGGGGTTTCCTACCCAGCCAGGAAGTGGAGGTCCACCAGGCAGAGGGGCTGACCCACATGGCCCCCTTTTCTGTCTCTCCCTCAGAAACCAGTCCCAATGTCCTGGAATCTGTTCAGTCATTCCACCAACAGCCCATAATGAGTATGGACATCATGTTGGATCTTGCTGCAGGCCAGGGTCTTGCCTGACATGTTCCCAGGGCAGGGAGAAGGGTGGCCAGGAGCCCAGGGAGACCATCTGTAGGATACAAGGCCTTCTGAGGGACCATCTTCCCCTCTGGTAAGGTGCTTAGCTTAGCAGTCAGGATGGGAAGGGACTTCTGGTCTTTTCAGGGGAGGGGGCAGTCCCACGGGAGCCCAGTTCCGCCAGTGACAAAGTTTGATTAGAGAGAGGGTTAAGAAGCTATAGCTAGCCAGGCTCGGTGGCTCAGCCTGTAATCCCGTGCCTTGGGAGGCTGAGGTGAGTGGATTGCCTGAGCCCGCGGGTTCGAGACCCGCCTGGGCAACTTGGTGAGACCTCATCTCTACAACAAATCAAAAAATTAGCCGGGTGTGGTAGCGCGCGCCTGTAGTTCCAGCTATCTGGAAGGCTGAGGCGGAAGGATCGCCAGAGCCCAGCAGGTCGAGGCTGCGGTGGCCGGGAGCGGCCACTGCACTCCAGTCTGGGCAACAGAGTGAGACTCCAACTCAAAAAAAAAAGAAAAGAAAAGAAAAGAAAAGAAGCTATAGCCATGGGCCTAGGCAAGGATCTGATTGAAACCCAGTTTGACCAGGAAGAAGCTTTCTCTTCATTGCCTGCCTGTCTGACCCTGCATGGATGGTTCATTTATTCTGAACTTAGAGGAGAGGAGAGTTACTTCTCAGTTCCTTAGACCCCAACAAATCACTAGAAGCAAAAGATCAGGCTGCCAGTTCCAGGTTGGCCAGATTGGAGGCCATCAGAAGCTGGGGTGTCCCCAACCGACTGAGAGGGACATTTGCCTTCACCCCCTCCTGCATCCTGAGCCAGAGGCTACGCCCAGACCCATAAGGAGACCCTCTTCAGACCCCTTAACCAGAGGCCGGCATGGGGCTGAGAGAGCTGTAGTGTGGGGCAGGGGGTGGTGGCTGATTAGAAAAGTCCCCAATCCCAATCTTAGCAGCAAGGCAGGGGTGGGACTGGGGTGGGAGGGTGAGTGAGAACCCAGCCTGGAGAACTCCATGAGACTTCAGGCTGGGAAGATCTCCAACCCCAGGGCAAGGCTTACCTGGGATAGCAAGGGGCTCCTTTCTCCCTCCTCCATCCTCAGTGCTGGAAGGGAAAGCCCCTCAACACAGGTACTAGCACAGAAGCACGCTGACTGTGTCCCTGAGCTGCTCTGTGAAATGTGCAGCCTAGGGAAAGGGGGAGCTGTGAGCCTTACCCAGATGCCAAAGTCACAATTGGATCATGTGAGGAGTCACATTTTAGGGCTTAAGGCAGCTTGTGCTTGTAGAGATGCAGACGGCCTTTCTTCCTGGCCCTGGCTCTGTGGTTCCCCTAAGCTCTTTGCACAGCTTGGGCAAGGCTATTGGGTACTGTCCTCATGGCTGTTACCGTAGGACCCCAGTGTGGGTGTTGGCCCTGCAGGATCAGAGTGGCTGTTCCATCAGCCTCACCAGGGAATCAGACTCCTGCCAATTTGTTCATAATCCCAATCCTAGGAGACCCATCAACAGCCCAAGTGTCAATTTATTTCCTTGGTTTATTCACGCAAGAATTTTTGGATTTGCCAGGCGTGGTGGCTCACATCTGTAATCCCAGCACTTTGGGAGGCAGAGGTGAGAGGGTTGCCTGGGCCCAAGTGTTCGAGACTAGCCTGGGCAACTTGGTGAGACCTTGTCTCTACAATGAATAAAAAAATTTAGCTGGGTATGGTGGCGCACGCCTGTAGTTCCAACTACTTGGAAGGCGGAGGTGGAAGGATCGCCTAAGCCTAGCAGGTTGAGGCTGAGGTGGCCATGAGTATACCACTGCACTCCAGCCTGGGCAAAAGAGTGAGACTCCGACTCAAAAAAAAAAAAAAAAAAAA